TTTTTTTTTGTTTCTGTTATATAGGGAGTTTGAATACCGATTTAATGCTTTATGGTTTCTGGGAAAGCATTCATATTATTTTTCCCTCTTTAAATTGTGCCAAAAGAGCTTAGTTACCTGGGATAGAACCTGCAGTTCTTGTAACAGCCCAACAGCGCAGGACAACTTTGCATTCTGGAGAATGCGGATCCCAGCCCAAGAGAGAACACAAATGTTTCAAAAAGCCCATTGACTTTTACTTCCTAAAATAACTCCTTCCAAGAGGAAAATGTCAGGCCAGCACCCCGTGGAGAGAGCATCAGCTGCCTTGTCAGATGCTGGAGAAGAAGCCGCCAGTGGGGGAGGAGGAGGGAGGGAGGCTTTCTTGAGAGGATCTGGACATGGAGGCTCTAGAGGGAGCAGAGCAGGCTCAGTGGTCAGAGCTGGCTTGCTGCCCCCCGCCCCCGGTCCCATGGGGATGGACGAGGCTGCCCAGGGCCCCGCAGGGAACAGGGCTGGGCTGGAGAGCCAAGCTTGAGCTTAAAGCTTCTAGTCCCCTCCTCAGTCCTGCATGTAGCCGCTTATTTCTCATCTCTGGTCTGGAAGGTTCTACCCAACAGTTTCTGCGTGCTTCCTTGCTCTCTGTGAAAGAGCAGTACTTGGGCAAGGCTCAGTTACTGTCTCCCTATGAGGAAATTTAACCCCCTGGATTAGTCATTTCAAAGCCTAGAAAAGTGCTCAGCATCTTGCTTTACTTGGGAGAAGGTGAAGGGCAAGGGGCATGTGTGTGTCATGAGCAGAGGGTGGTACCCGCTTGGCCTTTAGCATCACCAAGACTGTCTCTTCTCTTGTCCCCTGCCCTGCAGTGTGACGACGTGGTCAATGGCGTCTCGCCCCCACTGGTGGTGGTGGGGGAGCTGAAGCCCCCACAGCAGCAGGACCTCACAGCTTTCCTGCAGCTGGTGGGGTGCAGCGTGTGGGGTAGGGGTCCCAGCGTCCAGGATGCGGTCAGCGACCAGAAGCTCTTTGCAGCCGCCTATTTCTTGGTCAGTGCACTAGCAGGTATGGAACAAGGGAAAAAAGAAAACAAAAGAAATGGCTGCTGTCACTTTGAGGCTGCTTCTCTTACTGTATAATAGTCGTCCCTTGTTATCTGTGGGAGACTAGTTCCAGGACCCTATGGATACTAAAATCTGATATAAAAGTCTCTGATATAAAATGGTGCAGTATTTGCGTATAACNGTCATATATTTTGGGGGAGCCACTCTTCAACCCACTTCAAAGGGGTTATGTGTCAGGGCCCAACAGATCAATCTGTTCTACTTAGAACAGAGAGATGAACAGGCCTTGTATTTTTCTGTTTTGCAGCAGAAGGATTTCTTGGGGAGGCCAGGTTCCTTAACTATTAGTTGTGCAAATGGGGGGTGGGTGGGGTAGCACACCAACTGCCAACCCTCCGTCTGCTCAGATTTTGAGTTCTCCATCTCTTAAGAAGGCTGAGGCTTTGCAAACCTGATTTTTCGTATAATTTTGTTTTTCATCTTTTTTTTT